AATGGGGCGGGGTAGCACGATTGAAACCCTCCGTCTTAGGTTATGTTCTAGAGTTTTGGAAGTGCATTCACGGAAAGCACACACTCGTCCACCACATACACGAGCACCGCATCGGTATTAGATGTGACTCGCTTGTCCTAAACGGGCCTTCATTGTAAATTTGTGGCGAGAAACCCCACAATCGTCGTGCAGCCCCCAGGGGGAGGGGTACTCCAAGTCAGACCCAGTACCCATGCTGAAGTATAGCTTTTCAAAAAAGTCTCTAAACACGTACTTATTTTTGTGAAATTATACCCATTACCAAGAGCAGAAAATTAAAATAGATACCCTACATGCATACAGGTACTAAAATCACACTGTTTCCAAGTTGAGGTAACATGAATTTAAGAGATTCCTTTTTTCACACTTGATTTATATATGTTAAAATATTCGACCCTAAACACGCGTATATATACGCGTCAAATAAATAAATAACACCCTTTTTACGCGTTTGCTTCAGCTTGCGTACCATATTTTATTCAGAGAAACCCCCCTGGGCACTCTCCCTTGCAGAGTCTTCTTGACCTAGGGAGCCACAGTAAGCTGCAACTAGACTCTGCCACAGGCGACATTTTACACCAAAATTGTTGGTATTCCGCGTTTTTTTTAATTCATTTGTTTCTGTTATCCTAAGCTTCTGTTGAAAAAAATGTGTGTTATTTAAAATAAATATGTCAAATATTTTTACATTCAGTGCTAAAATCTTTTCAAAATGTTAAAATAATGAAAAAGTAGATCGTGCGGTAGGAGACGTAGATGTGAATCGTCAGTTCAAATCGTCTGTGCGTTCGCGTCGTTGCCTCGGGGTGGTGACGCGGGCGCCTCGCGCCTGCCCAGTTTTCGTTCGCCTGCTATATGACGTCACAACTGGGCGATGTTAGAAAAGAGATAGCGAACTAGGAAATCGATAAGTACAAACGTGTTTAGGTAATTTTCTCAAACATAAAAGGCCAGTGGGCGTGATTTCAAAATAAATTTTATACATTTTATACGATTTTCGCTTGCATAGCAACGGACCAATACATCTACTTTCTGCCACGTCGTTTGGGGCCAAAATGTAGGTCCTGTGGCAGAGACTAGTGGGACGTTCCCTGGCAACTACCTAGCTTAGTCTCTGCGACGGAGAATGCCCCCTGGGGTGCAGCCTGGTCGCGTTCGAAAATCACACAAACACACATTGTATGCGTTGTATGGGAGCCAGATCGAACACTACGCGACGCTTTAGAGGTAGAGCTTTCATTAGGTCGTGATATCTTTACTCAGCTTAGGAATAATTGTCTGGTAGTTATATTGGAGAAAGCACACTGGCATCATTTATTGTGGAAAGATTTAAGCGATTAAACACTCAGCTGACCATAGAGTGCGGCTGTTGCATTTGGAAAAAGCACGGCTACTCGTGCGATTAACGACTTATTACACAAACAGTCCGACGGGGACGCGAAGTAAAAGACACACCACTTCGCCGCATTGCTACCAGTGTCTATAGTTCAGGACCCGCATTCACTTTTCTGAAACTTGCAAACCCTGACACTTAGCCAAGCCCTAAGCCTAGAAGTGTGCGAAATACTAATCTACAAAGGCACGAACCCAAACTGTGGTTATTCCTATACATGTGATACGCATATAAAACGAACTGTGGTGATCACAAAATCTACACAGAGACCGCGACGAAAGACCAAGTGTGGAGTTAATGAAATAAAAACATCACCAGGACACGTGGCGAAGAATGATATGAATAAACTTCTCCCTAACTTATCCCACCGTATCCCGGGCCATATCTTATCCTATCACCTCTCCTGACGTTTTCCATTGTATATCCTACCGTGTCCGAACTTTTACCAATCCAGCCACTTTATATCATATGCAATTTGAATATGACAAATGTTGACAATTTGTTCCATATATTCAGATACAATTATACAAACCTATCTCAACATGTCTTCAAATCGTGCCAGGACATGTGTAAATTGGCGAGTATGTCTTGTGGCCTATCTAAACAGACCCTAACCGTTATCTGTCGCCATAACCCAGTTCCAATCTGTTTATACGAGGCACGTCAGCTCCATTGGAATTCTGCTTATTACACAACCTTGCGATTTGTTGCATCTCTTACCATGCAATAAACGTAACTTTCTATCTAAACCGAGGAACATTTAAAAACTTTTTTCCCCCGGAAAAGTCGCGCCGTGCTTTTGTGACGTCAAAATGACGTAGGTGGGTGTAAGTAATGTCCTTTGACACAATTTCGTTTGGGTGTAGTAATCGTCATTTAGAATGTAGACAATCTCTGGGGAAAAAAAACAGTATTTTTTTTATTGACAAAACGATTAAATATCGACACTTTGTTCACCACTCCTCACACCCATCCACATCATAGAAGCACAAACGAATACAGGGAATAGGTGTTATGTCTCTCGGTGACCGCGGTTACTGTTAGTGACCGTACTGTGACTGAGTGGGCTCAAAACAACTTCAGTTTCATTAGCATTTGTAGGTATTCGGTATTTAACATTATTGTGCATGTAGTTCCGTACGGTACATATTTTAATGCAATGTTTATGTTAACTTATGCCCAGTGGATTTGTTCAAAATGTGCGCGTTGCCCCGGCAATCAATTAGTAGTGTGGGCAAAGTGTTTCAACTATTTTAATGACCTAGTACCGAACACGAATGGCATTATCAGATTAATTGTAAGGTCAGAGTGTCCCAGTTACCGTTATACCCACAAAAAACTGCACAGCATTTATTAGACGGAACAAGTCAATAATAGGGTTTGAAGGTCGATGTACGCCCTCGTGATTTATTGACTTAGAGTGACCGTTTCGATTTTTTTTTATACAATCAATTATTTGATTATCAGATAGCGTAGTTGATATAAGCGCGGTGATTTGGTCGACCCTGTTTCCCATTCCGTAGTTTTGTTGCCTGCCGATTGTATAAAGACCGCCATCAACGGTATTTATTAGGAGTAACTGGAATGTCATGCTATAAACCTGATGAGTGTATTTGTAAGTACTAGTACTCATAACTGAGTCTGTAACAAGCGGGGCAACATTTGTTTGTGTTATACTGGTATTTTATTTGGAAAATACTCAAACAAAAGTTACGTAAAAAAAACACAAATATATCACTACAAAATTAAACAGATCTAAAATACAAAAAAGCAACGTTGGGAAAAGATAAACTAGTCACATTTGGAGAGAATTTCAATGAATCAATACTAAAATTTTGAAAAAAATTGACTCTTAAATAAAGAGAGCTAAGATAAATTTCTGTCTACATTTTTAATAATACTATTTTGACAATGAAATGGGTAATGTTTTTCATCTCCAATCTTGTTACAATCATAGAATTACGTGGTCTTTCTTCTCTCTTAATCTGAATGTCACCCAGATTCAACTGGTAAGAAATGCGCCGATACTTTGTAATTTTACAGAGAAATCCTGTTTTTTTTATTTGTAATACCATCTACACATTTTTCAAAATTAACTATTTGTTTTGAGCTTTTACCCTAAAACAAGTTTTCTCAAATGGTTGCGTAACAAGACTATTATTATGCTTCATTTAGAAAAAAACACTAAATAACCGAGTGAATAAATTCAGGCAATATACAATGACAACAACTAGTTATTACAATACCCTGGTTCATTTATAAAGTAACACCAAAGCTGGCAACTGTAGATGCTGTAACACAAAAAAATTCCACAGTTGCCAAACTTGTGTTCTGAATGTTATAAACGATGTTCTGTCCATTGGCTGTATGCTGTATGCTCACAAACACGAATAAGTTTACGTACATCCTCGATAGAGGGCGCTCTTATAGACAATGCGTGCTCCAACTTTACATCAACAATACTGACTGTAAATTTATACTTTAAGTTATAGTAATTCGCCAATGTAAATGTTAAAGAGTATAGGCGACATTGTTGCACCTTGTCAAACTCCATTCAACACATTAAAGCCACGTGACATAACAGTGCCCAATTTATTGCAGTAATATTGGCAGCTCACCAAAATAAGCGAATAATGTATGCTGGAAATTTACGTTTAATAAGCTTATTGAAAGCGTCCAGTGATTAACTGAGTCGAACGTCTTAGATACGTAAAAACAAATGCATACTCCCCTACCAAGGGAATTATAATAAACGATGATCTAACATAAATAATCGCGATTGAACGGTTATTATTTCTGCTCGTTACATCACCGCCTTTGTTCTTGGCTACAGGAACTTACGCCATCCCACGAGAAATAGTACCATTCACTAGAATTGACGGCATGCACAAGTGTGTACAAATGCCTGAACTGGAATGCCTAAGGTTCTCAGCAGTAGGGCCATATATACATCATGTACATATAGTAATTGATCAATGCTGGAGCTAGTTTCAACATTAAAAACACATGACATTGGAGATGTGATTTAATACAATAGCTCTATACTTGTTGTTAACCACCATGATACATGTATACTGTCTGCTAACTTGAATGTACATTTGAAAACATTGATGTATACAATTTAAAAACCGGTCTGGCTCAAAAAAAAAAACCGCGCTCAAAAAAGATATGTCTTGATTTTTTCAGTTGGCAAGTATGGTTAACAAGTCTTGCAAGTGCATCCGTGGAGTACATTCGTGCGTATGTGATCTCTCGCCTGAGATCCATAATCTAAAACGACTCGAACAATTTATTCGTTTTGGACGCAGTGAAGACATCAGAACTGGTAATGCCGTTATAAAAACAAATTAATTGTGACACAAGACAGCGCGGAATATCATTATATCCTCGGGGGCGGAGCTACGTCACAAGACGTTCCATGTTGCTAAGACGGGCACCACTGTACATGCATTTCTATGGGCTCTGGGCGAGCTGCTGTGGAACGCCGTTCGAGCCGGTGAAAATTCGAGAAAACAACACAAACTCAACTTTGAAGTAATCCTGAACAACCAAATTTATATATGTTACACACGTAGGGCCAATCTTGTTACGCTGTTCAGGGGACTCTCAACAACCATCCCAAAGTACCGTTTTCTGCGAGTTTTGGCCTTTGTTTTCACCGCGAGGGTTGCCAGGCGGTAGAAAATGCCCGGATGTCCGCCCCCCGAGGATTGGTATTTTCGGACGGACCATTTTCACCGCTTGGCAATCATCACCAGTGAAAACAAAGGCCGAAAACAACAAACAAATTTGGCTGTTTAGGATTGCCACAAAGTCAATATTGTTCTGTATTCTCTAGTGTCTTTGGTCAGCTATAGCTATTGCGCCCTCGCATACTTATGCATGTAGCCTGTGACACAGACGCGCAAACTTTATGTTCAAATTATTTTAATATCTGCTCGAATGTAAAATGAAGTAAGGTAAATAAGTACATGTGTATATAAATATTGTTGAGAACATACAACATTTTTTTCAATATATAGACATTTTTCTTGGTGATATCATAGACCAATAGGGTTTATGGCAACATGGGCAAATTAGATACAGTGTCTTACAATATACTTTTTATGTCGTTAATTAAAAAAAATACATTATTACATACGAGTGCTTTAATTGGTGTATATGACCTCGGAAATTGACAAAATGCAAGCTGATGGTCATGTTACCAAATACGCTAATTAGTGATATGTTGTAGTAGTGACAAATCGAGTACAATTAACAGCAAACTTGCGTTAGTTTGCGTTTTATTCTAAGATAATTATAACGTGTTTTATTCCTTTTTTTAAAAACATCGTGTAAACTTTGTTATTCATTCGCATTGGATATATCGCGCAGGACTTATTCTAGGGGCAGACATCCAGGCATTTTCACCGACTGCATGGTAACCCTCACGGTCAAAAACAATCTTGGCCCATGGATTCGTTGATAAAACATTATTTCATGTAATCAAAAGGGATCCTTGCTTTTATTTCACTTTCTTCATCCTTATATCATGAAATGTCACATATGTAAAAATGAAGTGAATTACATTATTTTTACTATTGAGTAGTGTTCTAAAACTCAAATTTCTGCGACGCGTTCGTTCCCATAGCAACGTATACAGCGCGTGTGATTCACAATGTTTGTTTACACACAATTACAAGCTCAAAAACAAGATGAAACATTTCGAACTGTTTTTTTTCATTTATGAGTAGGTGGCCTTAAAGTTACAGTGATAAGTAGTGACGTCAGCAGCAACGTTTTACGGTGATTTAGAATTCATAATTTATTACCTCACAATCGTAACTTTTGTACTTATTATAAATAAGCTTCACTACGCTAAAAAACAAAGAAGAAATGTTATTTTTCATCAAGGTTGTAATAATTCTATTCTATTCTATTCTATTCTATTCTATTCTATTCTATTCTATTCTATTCTATTCTATTCTATTCTATTCTATTCTATTCTACTATCTCTCCCCACGCAGAGTTTCTAATGACACAAGTGTGGCGTCTGGAGATCACTGTTGGACCGGCTGCTCTGATCGTAATAAGTTGAAGAGGTCATTGAACCAATTTACTGTTACTAAAAATGACCCGCAATGTGCGTGGGCGCTTTTTCTTTCTAGATACTGGAAGTACGTTGCATAAAGTAGTAGTCGTCAATTAATCATGTGGTTGTACATCAGCTTGGGTGGGTCCGAGAGATAACACTCTCATGCAAACGCAGAAAACAGTTAAACAATTCTAGAGTAAATAAATATCAAACTAACTACTAGTAAAATACTTTATTTTAGTAAGAATTAATTTTTGCTGAAAAGACTTTTTGGCTGTTTTGTTTTGGAATTTATTTTCACTGATTTTTGACGAGTTGAATGTAAAATGTAGGAAAAATGTATATTCGCTGGATTTTATTTTCACTGAATCATTTCCTTCAGCGAAAATTAATTCCAAGCGAAAATGAAGGATTTTACAGTAACTAACTAACTAACTAATTAACTAACTAACTAACTAAATAACATTTTTAAGTTGTCATAAAAATTGTGCTTGTAGTTTCATTTTTCTTTTCATGTAGATTTGACATAGTTTCTTTTATTTTTTTTCTATAGTTTTGAAAAAAATGAAAAAGCTTGGCAAGGAAACATTCATGCTACACACGTCAGAACCCGTAGCAACAGTGACTCATATCCACGGGTTTTCAATTGATCCCTAAATAATAACCGATTGATAGAGCGTGGATTACACGTAGTCCAATATTTCGCAATTTCAGGTGGGTGGACTATCGACTACTCATTCACTCTACTACTCGTTTTCTTGACGTCATGGGGAAAGTCATGGAAAACGACATCGTGAACTATGCTAATGAGCCAAATTATATTCAACAAACCGCGTGACCATACGCGTGCGCAGAAGCGACAACTTTCATCGGGATAACTTTAGTACATATTCTCTGTTAGGGTGGATAAAATCTCGTTGTTTATGGACACTGTTCACGGTTTAAGACTGATAGAGGTAAATATGAAGATATATTGATCATTGTCGATTTGTATTTTAACGCGAACTGCGTGATCCATTGCCAATTCACAACAAAAATGCCTTGTATTTCAGGGGGATCCCCCAGGCACCACAAGGATTCTCCGCGTCAAAGTGGTCGCGGGACTGAACTTGGCCAAAAAGGATATTTTCGGAGCAAGGTAATTCGAATATTGTTTTCTCAAATACTTCCCAAAAAACTAGCGGTCATCAATTCGTACCGTTACGTGCACCTGTACGTGATATGTACACAACATGGTGTTACGCGTAACGCCGCCCAAAACGATGGCAGAGTTTATGATGGCCGCGTTGAGTTGTGTTTATTATTCTAAGCTGTATTCATGACGGGCGTGGATGGCTTTTAGGTAGATGAGCAGCGCGTTTATGCTGTCACTAGTTGTCATATTGATCCGTGACAACATCTGTTTT